CTTGGGAGAAGGGCGAGGGGTGGCACTGAAGTTCAATCATGCCCTTAATTATTTTTTGATATCGATGATAATATACTTATAGAGAACTAATATATTTCTAAGATGATCTACAAATGTTATTCCCATGGATACTTCAGGTATGGAACATGGACACCCCCTCCCCCCAGCTAATGACTCAAGACATGTGTGACAACGGAAACAAGCATAGATTGTTCCTTTCGTTCTTAGAGTTATAAAAATCCCACACTGTTAAAACTAGATCAATAGGGTTTGCGAAAGATTTTCTCAAGTCAAAATCATCACCAGATGCTAATCCTACTAAAAGTCTAATGCCAAAAGCATAGACAAATCCTACACATAATAGGTAAAAGTGACAAGTTATCACATGGCCCGACTGTCCGCTAGAATGGAAAACATACTCAAGAACCATAAAACGTAGACGGACGCTAGCTGGACCATCTGGACAGCTCAAAGGGAATTTATGCCCTTAATTGTTTTTGGTTTAAGGGCAACATAATTTGTGGTCAAACCTCATGCTTGAAGTGTGTAAATAATGTCGTCGCGTCATAAAGAGAAGCATGGATGGTTGGTTCCCCCACCCCATTTTGAAAAGGGAAAATATGCTTTTGTCGATGAATTTTATGTTTCATTTCAGTCAGTAGGGAAACTGCACTATTAAGATGGCGTACACCTCAGAGATATTGCGGGAATCATCTGAGAGAGAATGCCCTAGTCTGAAGTTCCATTGTTCTACTTAGCCTGGACTTCCGGAGCCGGGCTATTCTAGGGCATGGTTTGGCCACCTTCCGAGGAGTTCAAAGAGTTTGTGATCTTTCGCAAACCTTCTATAAATCACATAGCATTCCCAAAAACATGGCCCAAAAATTTCGTGGCTCGGTACATTTAGTTAGGTCCAGACAACTTCCGGAGCATCCACAAGGTGTGCAACCCTGTTGCAAACCACTTGCAAGCCCAAGACTTGTTCAGAACTTGGCCTGGAACTTCTAGGGTTTCTTGAAACTTTTGGGCCATGCAAAAAACGCGTTGTAATTGTTGGATTTAGGGGGAGGGGGTCTATTAATAGGCTCCTTCTTCCCCACGAAGGAGGCGACGCCTCCATTCTCACTCTCCATTGTTCTAGCTCTAATTTCTTAGAGAACTCCCTCCGCTTCCAGTCAAACTTGTTGATCTTTTGTGGAGTTAAAGAGAAGTGCCCAATCTATGTTTCCACTAAAGGAAAAGATGATTCCCATTGTTTCCTTGGTGGATCTTGGTACTCTTAGAGATTGGAGACTCCTATGCAGTAGAAGTCCCCGTTGAGAAAATTGATTTGTGAGTTTCCTAGTGTTTTGGCGAAGGTTTGGAGACTGCCTTAAGGTCTACCACTAGTTGTTGAGAATCGCCTTGGTGGTGATATCTTAAGGAGAATATGATGAGTCTTTATTGTGTTTGTGTGCCTACTGTAAATATGCCCTACAGACAATAATAAAATTGATATTATTCTATTTTCATATTTATAATTAAGTTTATATTTCTATGCTAAAATTGCATTGGTTTTTGAACGAGAGATTTGGATGAAAACATAATTGCATGTGTAGAATGATAAACACCAAAACGGATCCCTAGTCAGATCGCTGGACTAGCTCGTGTATTGTTGATAATGACGCTGACAATAAGAAGAGGACATTTTTAGGGTAATAATGATGTTCATATAATTTGTTAACGTTTACTTATGTTCTTAGACCACGAGAATATCGTAAACCCAAATATCAGATGGTTACTTTTAGGTTATCAAATGTTACTCCACAACTGGGTGGTTATAAAAACGACTCTTGGATTCACAAAAAAGTAGGCAGTGGCGCTAGGTGTCAAGATTGGATACACTACGGGTCCACTCGGTATTAAGGCGTCCAACATTGCCTGGCCAGGATTGTGACTAAGGAGTCACGGGGATACGAAAAAGAGAAAAGAGTACAAATCGGAAGCGAGGATAAATAGGTATAGTGATCAAGGAGTTGATCACAAGGATATCGTCAAAGTCTTGCATCGGGTTGTATAATGTATCGCGCAAGAGATGATGAGGAGTCGCGACTAACATTGAATGTTCCACTCGTTGTTGTTGGCTCTATCACCGCGTGCGACAACCCGAAAGAGCCTCGTAGCATCGCGAGGAAGCTCACCATCTTGTACCTCGTTGGCGTCCTGGATGCGTCCACACCTAGCTCCATGTGGAATGTAGCTCAACCACCACGCTCCCTCTCCGTTGTTGCACGACACGGCATCATCCCGATCGACAATCGTCTCAAGATCCCCATCAGCTATAAGACTGTGTGGTGGTCGACACGTCTGGTGTGGTGTAGGTAGGGCACACGACGATGGCACGAGGTGGTGGAGAACATGGTCAAGGCAGCTGTCGTGCGCGTGCCCAGGAAGTGGAGGAATGTGCGAGCGCTGCACTTGGCACCCGAATCGATCGCCCTACCTCTCTATCCGCCATCGGGTTGTGCACATGTGTTCGAGCTCCGATGCACAGGAGGAAGTGATTCATGAAACCGAACAAACAACAAAATTTTTGGTGACTAGTGCGTTGGAGATGTCCTAAGTTTTTGTTTTTGGATAAAGGAGATGCCCTAAGTAGGGCCCACACGTCAACCGGACACCAACCATGCCTCGCTTTAGGTCTTCGTTTCTTTTTTTGAGCGGTGCTTCATGTCTTCGTGGGCTATAGCAAATACGGTGGCTAGGGCTTGGGCCCCCAAACCCAGCCTAAACCATAGTAAGTTTTTTTTGAGAAGAACTACTACTTCCTTATTCCATAATGTAGTGCGCCCATATTTTTCGAGATTTAACTTTGATTATAAATTAGACCAATAATACATAAATCATTTTATTAAAAAAAAACTTTTAAAAACTTCTTTTGACGAATTCAAAGGTAGCTGTCATGCTTCCGCCGCAGTCGCCTATGTTGATTAAATTTATGGTAAAAAATAAATCTTCAAAAGCGTGGACGCATTACATTGTGGAATGGAGGGAGTAGGTCCCACACGTCAGCAGACACCAACCAGGCCTCGCTTCAGGTGGTGATCAGGGCTTCATGGGCTATAGCAGCACGGTGGCTAGGGCTTGGGCCCCCAAACCCAATCTATCCTCGTCAAATCTTCTTCTCCTCGTCGCAATCCAATCCACCGCCCGGCGAAGAAAGGCGACGAGATGGCGGCGAGCAACTTCATGGGGTCGTCGTCGCGGCTCCGCATCGGGCTCCTCCCGTCCGTGACCCCGCGCCTCGGCCGCCGCGCGCTCGCCGCGCGCGCCTCCGCGGACAGCGGCGGCGGCCCGGTCCGCGTCCGCTTCGCGCCGTCGCCCACCGGCAACCTCCACGTCGGGGGCGCCCGCACCGCGCTCTTCAACTACCTCTTCGCGCGCTCCAGGGGCGGCAAGTTCGTCCTCCGCGTCGAGGACACCGACCTCGAGCGCTCCACCAAGAAGTCCGAGGAGGCCGTCCTCAGCGACCTGTCCTGGCTCGGCCTCGACTGGGACGAAGGTATTTGCCGTCACCCACATGTCAGCCTGTCAGGGTTCTTCTGAGCTGACCGAGAGATATCTGATGACTAGAGTTCAAGAACGAATTCCTACTCTGGATTGTCTTTGCGATGGCTGTTTTTGTATAAGAAATGTGCAACGGTGTAGTTGCTTATTAAGCTGTATTGTGGTAGTTAATCACTAGAGTAGAATCTGTTACCTGCAAATTGCTGTGCTCATCTGTGTGCCTGTTTAGGCCCGGACATTGGTGGCGATTTCGGCCCTTACCGCCAGTCGGAGCGCAATGCTCTGTACAAAGAGCATGCCCAGAAGCTAATGGAGTCTGGTGCTGTTTATCGATGCTTTTGCTCTAATGAGGTATCTTTCTCCCCCTCTCCTGACCTGCATGTTTGCCTGCTTAGTGAAACATGAGTTTTGTGGTTCCAAGTTCCACATATATGTAACATATTGTTGGCTCTTATCAATATGGGAGTTGAGTAAAGTTCTCCAAATGAATTATTTTGGTTGCTTTGAGTAAAATACTTGGGATTTTGTGCTTCTCATGAAAAATTAAATGTGACATATCCTACCATGACAGCTATGTATGAGTCATTTAAAACCTGGTGAACAATTTGAGGGCGTTATTTCGAGTAAACTCATGGGGCCTGGCCTGGCTGTAATATTCACTAATCAAATAGTAGCTCATCTAACAAGTGATATTGATGCTTCAGGAACTCGAGAAAATGAAGGAAACTGCTAATCGGATGAAGATTCCTCCTGTATACATGGGGAAGTGGGCTACTGCTTCAGATGCAGAAGTGCAACAAGAGTTAGAGAAAGGCACACCTTATACTTACCGCTTCCGAGTGCCAAAGGATGGTTCACTGAAAATCAACGACCTTATTCGTGGTGAGGTAATGACATAAAGTGTTTGAGCCTATGTTTTCATTTTCACATTACTGTAGGTCCACAACGTGAACTGCTCTTATGCTTTCTACGTTAGTGATCC